CGCAGTGCCTCGATATGAAACCAGACAACTTTTGTGTTTTTAATCTCCAAATACGAAAAAAAATCAATTAAGCTAATAAATAGGCTAACGTTAAGAACGTATTATATCGTTTGTTTTATATTAATTATTATTTAAGATCATAATAATAAACAAGTCGCATTTCGATGTACTCCATGCTATAACCTTTATATAAAAATAGCAATTTTTACGAGATTACAAATTGTATCGCATTGTTTGGTTCCATTGCCTCGCTTTCAAAAATTAGAACAGGCGCTCCAAAATCGTAAAACGAAGTTAAAAATTTTATATTGGCCGAGTTCCCCCACTGTTAAGAATATCCTCGCAGCATTATCTGCAGTTAACCTTCCTACGATTTTCAATGTATTTTGCAATGTAATTTACAATCCTCCAGGTGAAGAATTTTATTAATCAAGAGTAGGGGAGGTGTGAAAATCCCCATTGGGGCCACATATAACACTATAAATACAATGGGAATCCCCTTAAAATGAAGGTAAAATAAATGTTTTTCTAAGGAATTCCGACGGATTTACTTTTTACAACATAAAATCAATAGAACATTTCTAATATAAATTTTCAAAAAGACACCAGAGAGCTAATGATATAAAATCAACCAGACGATCTTTGTCAATTTCACCAACTTGTTTATTTCAAACAGCGCACTTTTCGCACATGCGCAGTTGTTTGAAGCCTGTGCTCTACACAGCCCTACCACCTGCGTCTCTCGCCTGAAAGCACATTAAGATAAAATGGGGCGGAAAATGTGTGTTTTATGTGAAGGGGATGCATAAGACTGACACTGATCTCCGCAGTATGTGATGTGGTAACCTAAATAGGAGACTTGATACATTTACACTCATACATATTATATATGTCCCGTCGCACCTCTCTCTCTCTCTCTCTCTCTCTCGCTCCAAAGCCTGTTTTTCACTACGACTTAAATTTCTAAATCATTATTTGTTTGGAAAGACAGCTGAATTTAAGCCGACTAATGCTTTTCGCACACGCACACACACACACACACACACACACACACGGAAAAAAACTAAAATGTCTTTTACCTGATTTTTTCAACTTTTCGGCTTAACTTTTAGAGTATTTTATAGTGATTTAACTCATAGTGGTGACATTAGCCCGTTTTATTTATTTATTTATTTATTTATTTGTAACTACATGTCAACTTCAATTATTGTGGGTCTATTCTGGGTACAACTTTCTTGGACAAACAAAAGTTAAGTGCTTGCTCATTTTTTTAAGTACACCGCACGCGTTCCCAGAGTCCTATTATCTATGTGTACATAACCTGCAAAGCTACTAACCTTTCCCTTTTTTCTCCAGAGGACATTTCATTTTGTAGGGAAAACCCAGTATAGAATACATGTACCTTTTAAAATGTCTACAAAACTTCCCTTGGTTTGTCTTAACTGTAAAAATGGTCTTGGAGATGAGAATCAACATGGCAACGAAATAAAAATGACTGCTGTATTGTCTGGGTGGTTTACGACAACTCATATCTACTGAATACGATAAGCTTTTAGGGACAAATCAAGAATGGATGGTCGTTGTACTTCAATTATACAAGGATTACATCCGGGCAACGTAACACGTGCGTCACGTTATCAAGACAATGGTGTTACGTAATGTTACTGCTTATAAGTGTCACTTTCTAGACCCTCCTTTCTCACATTGAGAGCCACGCTGAGCGAAACAGAGAGGGGAAACTATTGTAAAGAAATGGGCACTAAATCATTAGTTATTTTCCTGGCTGCTTTGAGCATAGGTAAGATTATCTCTGAAAATGAGCGTCTATAATTCATATACATTTTGTTTCATAATGAAATAAGTCCCCTTTTTAAAATTAAATACACATTACCGTTTTGTACTTAAGAAAGTTGAAGTGGTTGGAATCAAAAAATTCAACATGCTGAAGGCTAAATGAATAGCTAGCTTTGATTTGAGATTCTAGTATTGTTTAATTTTTCTCTCAACCATTAATTATTTCAATACCTTTATTGCCCCAATAATTTGGCATACTCAGTGGACATACATTTTATTTAGTAGAAAAGTTTTTTGTGTGTTATTTGGGAATTATATGTTTTATCATAATCTTTTATTATGTCATAATTTAATACTGCGCTCAGTAATACTTTTCTTTTGTAACCATACTTCCAAACAACGAAACATCAATCCATGTATATTAACTTTAACAGCCATTATTTAAGACAACTGAATCGGTTTTTAAACAAAGTCAGCAATTACGTTTCAAAATATCAAATTCTTCGACTATTGCATACTACATGAAATTCCAATATCACTATCTTATACTACAGCGGTTGCGGACGTCGAGTTCGAATGTACGTTTGACAAAGACACCTGCGATTTTAAAGATGATCGTGTTGATGATGTCTTTGACTGGAGGATTGGACAGGGGACAACGACAACGAGATACACCGGACCTTCTGTAGACCACACCCTCGGCAACCGTAAGTGCTGTTAAAGCTGTAAATATGCACTATAATCCTCTTCACAGGGGCGTTTGTTTTCATACAAAATAATTCCTGCTCCTCTTGTGAAGGTTCCAATAAAAGTTTTCTAGAATATTATTATTATTATTATTATTATTATTATTATTATTATTAGCTTGTTTATTTAAGTGGCTCAAATGGTAGATGGATAAGTATACAGGTCTAATTGTTGCCACTGAGTAAGTGATTTAACGCATTATCTATAAACAATATAAGCGATGCCGATAACTTGCCATTTGACGTTTTATTATTATTATTATTATTATTATTATTATTATTATTATTATTTACAAGGACAAAGAGGTTTAAATTACAAGATGAAGAGCGAGTTTTAGATATGATCAGCCGTGGCGTGAGTCTATGTAAAGTAACTGAAATAGTAACTGTAAGGCTTATATCGTCCTACGTTTAGTCGTATGTGAAATTATAGACTGGGTTCCCACAGATTTAGATCGATCCATCTGGATCGACCTAACTTCCTGGGGGTTAATGCTAAATTGCTGTCAGCTTCCGGGAGCCGAGCGCGCACAGAAGTTAATTACCCCCTTACAGCTTTTAGTAGGCGGGGCAGACATTTAAGTCGGTCAAGCTGACAGCAATCTAGTGAGACTCTCCAGGGGATAGATCGATCTAAATATATGTGGGAATGGTCTCATAGAATGGTCTCATTGTGTTTTGGGACACAATATGGACATCCCAGAGGAGCTGGTTGACGCTGTCTATCAATTTGATCTCTGCACTCGCGTATTTAATGTGGTCATTACATATCAGTTAACATTATTGTTCGAGTGCCCATTGTATCACTTGACCTCATGATCTCATGAGCCTTTAGCCCGTAGAGAACGTATCGCGATCACCTACTTGAGATTATCTACGACATCAGCTGATGTGTGTACATAGAAGATTAAATGGAATACTTGGAATACTTGAGAGAAGAGAGTGTTAGTTAAGAGTATCAATTGTCTGAAGATTAGATGGTTTACCTTGCACTTCATAAATGATAAATGTCCTGGGCATGTATTTAAACTCGTGAATTACCTTCCCAATTAAATGGAAAGAAGAACAGTGTTGCTTTTGAAATGGTACATGTAGCCTTTATACTGTTCCCCACTGATGTATTTTTATCAGAAATAATAATGACTGAAAAGCGCCTAGAACTAGCATTGTTATAAATATGTAAGACCGAACTCTGTTGATGTGAAGAGATCGCATGTTGCTGGAAATTGAGTAAGTTCGGCAATTTGTAATACTTAACAAGCGCTTTATCATGAATATACTTTACTGTCTTCTCTTTATACTAAAATATCAATATGCACCTCTTCTCAGGTAACGGGAGGTACGCTCATATAGAAGCCTCCACCCCGCGCAAGGAAGGCCACTTCGCTCATCTCTACTCCAAGGAATTCCCGTTCAGCTCCCGCCCAAGATGCCTCAATTTCTACTACCACATGTACGGCCTGGACATGGGCAGACTGAACGTATATCTCCACGTGGACGGGGCCAAGATGATGATCTGGACTATGGCCGGTAAGCTACATGTAGTAGAGCAGGGATCTTATCTCGACTCTAAAGCCGCGTTCAAAAAGTTTCAGAAAAATGGTAAAAGCCAATTCAACCTTCGGGAGATTGCCGTTTGAATGCAACACATTCAACCCTTTGAAATATCTCCCACTTGTTACCATATCGACTGCTTACAAACCGCGGAAGCTTTAGGGGTTGCAATCAAGCGAATATAGCTACTGTATAATGATTTGTTAAGACCGTTTTCAATGTGGCTTTAGTTTTCATGCAAATGAACAATGAATTATAAAACTAACATGTGATTGCTGATTTAATTGTCTAACTCTAAATTAAATAAAGTATAAGTAACCGTTCTGTTTAGAGGCAACTTTTTTTAATGGGCGTTAAAAATCAGTTAAGAACACAGAAAGATACCTGTTTTCTGCCGTCACTGTACATTTTGACACGTCATCATTTCATGCTGATCAGGTAACCAAGGTAACATGTGGTTACGTGCAAACGCCTCCCTCCCATGCGGCAGATACAACATCATGTTTGAAGGCGTGGTTGGGGACGGTCCTAGATCGGACATTGCCATAGATGATATTGTTGTCTACGATACTGCATGTGATTTGGACGGTAAGTGCTATTCATCTCAAGAGATTTTTTAAATTTGTGTCGTCACAGTATAGTACCTTTTTAGTTATCAATTGTTTGTCAATTAATTGTGTATAAAGTAGATGGATGATAACGATAATTCCCGAAAATTGGTACGGATTTTTGTAAAAGATCTTTTTTTTTTTTTTTTTTTTTTTTTTTTTTTTTTTTTTTTTTTTTTTTTAAATAATCCTTTTTTTAACATACAAAAAATTTAAAAAAATTTTAT